TTCGCCCCTGTTTGCCATCATTGAGAAAAATGCAAAGCGTTCTGTAAAGAATGCCCATGCTGAGCGAGCCAGCTTCTGTGTTCACTATGTGGCAGGGTAGCCAATCGTCTCAATGTAGACACGGATGATCCCTGTAGTAGTAGTACAGTGATTCTGTAGGTATACCCCATACATACTTACATTGGTCCAAGTTGAACCAATGTTACTATGCAAAAAAATCCATACCTTGAATTCATATTTATCTGGAGAGTGTTATAGTTATGGTTCTTTCATATCATCAATGTAACATACTGAATATTTTAGTCTGCACGGGTCGGTAAGCTCCTCCTCCCTTCCTTGGAGTGCACTTATCCACTTCAATGGACATGTAGTGGAGCTGCTCCGTCTCACACTGCACACAGCCGACACCAAATTGTTTTATAAACACCTCCTCGATCTGCACAGTGTGACTGTAGCTGGCTGTTGTAGTTCTCAGATCAGAAAAGAAGTACAGCTACAAGAGCAAGTTACAGTCACACTGTGCAGATCGAGGACATGTTTGTAAAACAACCTGATCTCAGCTGTGTGCAGTGTGGGAAGGAGCAGCTCTGTTGAGTACCCTGCTACCATATAACCCCACCCCAAGACCTGGTAACCCTGTCCTATGCCTTGGGCACCCCATTCTATTTCCCACTGACTCCTGTCCTCTACCCTGCGGACCCTGTCCTGTGCTCTGCGAACCCCATCCTATGTCCTAGTGATCCCTGTCCTTTACCCTGTGGACCGCATCCTGTGCACTGTAGACCCCATCCTTTGCCCCACTGACCCCTGTCTTCTACCCTGTGGACCCTGTCCTATACTCTGCAGACCGCATCCTATACTCTGCTGACCTCATCCATTTGCCTTGCTGACCCCATCCTATGCCTTGCTAACCCCTGTTCTCTGCTCTGCAGACTCTGTCCTATGCCCTGCTCACCTCATCCTATGTCATACTGACCCCTGTCCTCTACCCTGCGGACCCTGTCCTGTGCCTTGTGGACCCCATCCTATGCCCTATGGGCCCCATCCTATGTGCTACTGACCCCTGTCCTCTACCATGTGGACTCCATCCTGTGCACTGTAGACCCCGTCCTATGCCCTGTTGATGCCTGTCATCTACCCTGTGGACCCCGTCCTATGCCCTGCTGACCTCATCCAATGTCATGTTGACCCCATCCAATGCCCTGTGAACCCAACCTATCTCCTGCGGACTCCGTCCTATACCTTGCTGACCTCATCCAATGCCCGGCTGACCCCTGTCCTATGCCCCGCTGATCATCTGCCCTGCTGACCCCGTGCTTTTCCTGCTGACCCCTTCCTCCGCTGTGCTGACCCCATCCTCTGCATTGGTGACCCCTGTCCTATTCCCTTACTGACTTCTTCCCTATGCCTTGTTGACCCCTGTACACTGCCTTGTTGACCCCATTCTCTGTCCTGCTTACCCCTGTTCTATGCCCTATTGATCTAATCCTCTGCTTGCTGATCCTTGTGTAGCAATCATGCACACAGAGATGGACGCGGTCATCCATTTTGCTTCAAACCCCTCCATCTTGTATCTCTCTCTCCCAAATCATATTCCTCCGCTATCCCCCCTCCCTCTCTGTTGAGTGACATGTGGTCTGGATGATGACAGAGATCACAGGCAGCAAACTCATTGGGAGGGTGTCATGGCTATAAACCCCACTAGCTGGTGCCCATATGTCTGCAAGACTCTTGCTGGAGAAGGGATCGTAAAACCATAAACCAAGCCCTCACTGAGCCTCAAAGACATTCCAGGTAGTCGTAAAAACAGACTTACATTTAAAAACTAATTTTTTTCCATATAATTTTATATTTTTAAATAATTACATAAACATGGAGCACATATTCGGACGGCTCACTCTAATACAAGTCGCCTGGTATATTACACCCCCTAGCTGGCATATACAGGAGAGCAGAAAATTATATCTCCATCCAAGCAGGTATGTTCTATTTCATATCTAACCGGTCAGCAGATGCGTCTGCATATTACTCTACTACTGGCCAGGCTGCTAAATGCACCAAGAATAAGTTATGGACCATGACATCAACTATGAGAGTTTTTGGTTCTAGCTTGGGTCTCCGCCCCAACACCCCTCCCCAAATGAGGCGATTGGTTCTCTGCTTTAAGGAGATACTCTGCTGAGTTTCTAGAAAAAGCTGAGCTAAGCTGAGTTAAGTTAAGTTGAAGATTCTCCCTTTTAACATCGGAACTAACTTTGGGAGATAAAGCATCCTTTTGGCTCATGAAACCTGATCTGCTTAAACCAGGACGTTTGGCAAGAACTTTACCTCCCTAAATTTCTTTCTGTTATCTTTTTGCTGTGTTATTGCTCTCTGCATATTTATATATATATTGGCTACATCTTTTTCTGTAAATATTTGTATTGCACCCTTTTGACCTTTTAGTAATAAATCTTACTTTCTGAAAGTGTTGAACTGTTTCTAAAGCTCTTTGATGCAAACTAAGAATTCCTGCCTCTGAAGAGCGCTACTGTGTGTGTGTTTTAAACTTCCGTATATCTATTCCTGCGGTGACAGTGGTATACCGACGCTTATGCAAACGTCATAGTGCTTGTCAGGAATGGACTGGCCAGCAATGGTGGGACTCACCTGCCTTATGGGCTGCAGTACCAGGGCTGGCCAGTGGGTGCTCCCAGCAATCAGAGACTCAACCTTGCAGCCAGCCAAACACCTGAAACTGCTTATACTGGTGTATTTAAGGGATGGCCAGACCTGCAGACTCTGCCTTGGTGTGTGTTTCTCCTGGGCCCTGTATCCTGTTCCTGCAACCCTGTTCCTGTTCCTGTCTGATTTTGTTGCTGACCCTGCTCTCATCCCTGGCTTTGTCTGACCATTCTCCTGCTCTGATCCCTGGCTTTGTCTGACCATTCTCCTGCTTTAAGCCATACGTTCTGACCTCCTGTTTATGATCCGACCTGCCTGACGACGCTTGCATTGTATGTTTTGTTATCTATGGGTGGTTTGGTTTGGTTCGTTTGCACTGTGTTATGTTTTAGTATTGCATTGCGTTTATGTTTGTATTGTTAGTCTTTAATAAATTATATTGTTTATAACATATCTGAAGTCTGCGTTTCCCTGCGTCAGTCACATACCTCTGGTAATACCCTGGAGCCCTGACATTACACCAAGGCCAATCCTGACCAGAAGTGGCTGCACAGGGAAGCCATCTTGGTTTGTTGATGGGAAGGATGGATCTTGATGAGGTTGTGTATTTATATCTGCTAGTGTTTGATGACAGAGAATATGCTTATCAGACTCTGAAGGAGTATCCCAGGGATGAACTGCTAGAATGTATACGGCTCGCTCATGTTCTAGTAGATCAGGGCACAGAATTCTCTGAGGTGCAGCCATTGATTCAGGTTTGTGCGGAGTTGGTTTCATCTGGTACCCCGAATGCAGGGATGAATTTTTGCCGCCATTTAGTGCCGACCAGGTAGAGTCCCTGGTATGGTTATTAGAGGATGATGTGGGATTGCTTCTTGGAGCATTATGCTGCATGTTCACCACTGATACTAAGAGATTGTATAAACGCAGTGCAGTCTTTGGTCAGACAGGCTTTGTGTAAGCTCAGCTTTGTTCAACCCATACTGCAGACATGGACAGATTTGTTGCACCCAGCCTCAGTCAGCTTACAAAATCCCAGTCCTGCTTCTAATCTATTTTTCTCAAAGCTCTACTCCTGCATTCCCAACAGCTCCTCCTGCCCTGCTATCTACCGCATGTCAGTACCCCTGTTCCCACTCGCTGCACCTATCCTGCCTTTAACCCTGTAAAAAAGCCCTCTGTAGCAACTGTTCCCTCCCCTGTTCCATCCTCCAGCTCTTCTCTGTCTCCAGCTGCTCCATTCGTTTGCAGACCTGCGTTTACTTGCAGTGCTCCAGTAGTTAAAACCAGAAAAAAGCGAAAATTCTTTCCAACCAATACCATCCTGCCAGTATCCAAACCGGTGAGCCTGCCGTCTGAGAACCTGCCTTCCGTGGTTCAGCTTGGTGCCTCGGCACCCGCACTTCAGCCTGAGGTCTGTACTCAGCCTGATGCCTGTACCCAGCCTGATGCCTCTACTCAGCCTGATGCCTCTACTCAGCCTGATGCCTCTACTCAGCCTGATGCCTCCACTCAGCCTGATGCCTCTACCCAGCCTGATGAACTGATCCAGCCTGATGAACTGATCCAGCCTGATGATCCTATTAGGCCAGTTGACTCGATGCCCGCTGTTGATCCAGACGATCCGGTACCTGATCCGGTGCCCGCTGTCGTGCCAATTGACTCAGAGCCCGCTGCCGTGCCTGGTGACTCGGTGCCCACTGCCTTGCCAGATGACGCGGTGCCCGCTGGCGAGCCAAATGACCTGATGCCTGGTGACCCAGTGCCCGCTGTCATACCTGGTGACCCGATGCCCGCTGTTGAGCCAGACAATCCGGTACCTGATGACCCGGTGCCCGCTGTCATGCCAATTGACTCAGAGCCCACTGTCGTGCCTGGTGACTTGGTGCCCACTGCCTTGCCAGATGACGCAGTGCCCGCTGTCGAGCCAAATGACCTGATGCCTGGTGACCCGATGCCCGCTGTCCAGCCAGACGATCCAATGTCTGACCCAGTGCCCGCAGTCATGCCAGTTGACTCGGAGCCCACTGCCTTGCCAGATGACGCGGTGCCCGCTGTCGAGCCAAATGACCTGATGCCTGGTGACCCGATGCCCACTGTCCAGCCAGACGATCCAATGTCTGACCCAGTGCCAGCGGTCATGCCAGTTGACTCGGAGCCCACTGTTGTGCCTGGTGATCGGTGCCTGTCGCTCCGCCTGGGGGTCTGGCGCCCGCCGCTCCACCTGGGGGCCCGAGACCTGTCGCTCCGCCTGGGGGTCCGGCGCCCCGCCCCTCCGCCTGGGGGCCCAAGACCTGTCGCTCCGCCTGGGGGTCCGGCGCCCGCCGCTCGGCCTGGGGGCCCGAGACCTGTCGCCCCGCCTGGGGGCCCGATGCTTGTCGCCCCTCCTGGGGGCCCGGCGCCCGCCGCTCCGCCTGGGGGCCCGGCGCCCGCCGCTCCGCCTGGGGGCCCGGTGCCTGTCGCCCCGCCTGGGGGCCCGATGCCTGTCGCCCCGCCTGGGGGCCCGGCGCCTGTCGCCCCTCCTGGGGGCCCGGTGCCCGCCGCTCTGCCTGGGGGCCCGGCGCCCGCCGCTCCGCCTGGGGGCCCGGTGCCCGTCGCCCCGCCTGGGGGCCCGGTGCCTGTTGCCCCGCCTGGGGGCCCGGTGCCCGTCGCCCGCCTGGGGGCCCGGTGCCTGTCGCCCCGCCTGGGGGCCCGCTGCCTGCCGCTCCGCCTGGTGGCCCGCTGCCTGCTGCTCCGCCTGGTGGCCCGGTGCCTGCTGCTTCGCCTGGTGATCCGATGTGCCTCTGCCCGGAGTCCAGCCCGATGTGCCTCTGCCCGGAGTCCAGCCCGATGTGCCTCTGCCCGGAGTCCAGCCCGATGTGCCTCTGCCCGGAGTCCAGCCCGATGTGCCTCTGCCCGGAGTCCAGCCCGATGTGCCTCTGCCCGATGTGCCTCTGCCCGGTGTGCCTCTGCCCGATGTGCCTCTGCCCGGTGTGCCGCTGCCCGATGGGCCTCTGCCCGGAGTCCTGCCCGGTGTGCCGCTGCCCGGAGTCCTGCCCGGTGTGCCAGTCTTTGATATCCCGCCAGTTACCAGACCCGGGCGGTGGAACATTTTGCCCAGCTAGGACTGTTTGGAGCATCCTGAGGCCGCTCCTTGAGGGGGGGGGTACTGTCAGGAATGGACTGGCCAGCAATGGTGGGACTCACCTGCCTTATGGGCTGCAGTACCAGGGCTGGCCAGCGGGTGCTCCCAGCAATCAGAGACTCAACCTTGCAGCCAGCCAAACACCTGAAACTGCTTATACTGGTGTATTTAAGGGATGGCCAGACCTGCAGACTCTGCCTTGGTGTGTGTTTCTCCTGGGCCCTGTATCCTGTTCCTGCAACCCTGTTCCTGTTCCTGTCTGATTCGTTGCTGACCCTGCTCTCATCCCTGGCTTTGTCTGACCATTCTCCTGCTCTGATCCCTGGCTTTGTCTGACCATTCTCCTGCTTTACCCCATACGTTCTGACCTCCTATTTATGATCCGGCCTGCCTGACGACGCTTGCATTGTATGTTTTGTTATCTGTGGGTGGTTTGGTTTGGTTCGTTTGCACTGTGTTATGTTTTAGTATTGCACTGCGTTTATGTTTGTATTGTTAGTCTTTAATAAATTATATTGTTTATAACATATCTGAAGTCTGCGTTTCCCTGCGTCAGTCACATACCTCTGGTCATACCCTGGAGCCCTGACAGTGCTATTGCTGATATTGCTGAGTTTCCTCTTTCTCTGTACAAAAAAAAGGTGGTGGCAGTGTGAAGGGTTAATTGCGTAATTAACCTGACCCAGTAACAATCGCTCTCAGGCTGCAGGTACACAGGTTGTGGTCCATTAGCTGGAAAATCTGTGTGCAGGGGGCAGCTGGGCATGACATTGTTACGCATGTGACAGCACGGTTTTAGATTGGCTAGTCCTTCAGTTACGAGTTTGGTGAGAAAGGCTGGGGTCTGACGCCGCGATCGTCACACCTTGTTTTTTGCTCTGCTGACCCCTATCTTATGCTCTGGTGACCCCATCCTCTGCCCTGCTAACCCCTGTCCCCTGCACCTCTAACCACTGTCCCACTATCCTGCTGACCCTCTGTCCTCTTCCCCACTAATCCCTGTCCTCTGCCCTGCTAACCCCTGTTGTCCACCCTGCTGGACCCTGTCCTCTGTTTTGCTGACCCATGTACACTCCCCTTCTGACCTCCCATCCTCTGCCCTGCTAGCCTCTGCGCACTGCCCTACAAACAACTGACACAATCCTTTGCCTTGCTGGCCAACCAATCCTTTGCCCCTTGACATTTTATACCGCACCCCCTCATCAGACAGGCTAGGTAGAATCCTGGAGTTAGCTGCCCCAAGCAGCCTGCTCTAATTTTGGACTGATAATTAAGTAGCTATTGGGAACCTCTAATTTAGAGGTGCAGGAATTGGGACTGATATGTGGTATGAAGGTACAGAAATTGTGCATGACCTGAGGTGTGAATATGCAGGAATTGGGGTGATCTAAGGGGTGAAGGTGCAGGAATTAGGGTGATCTGAGGGGTGAAGCTGCAGGAATTTTATTTGAGATCTGAGGGTGCAGAAATTGGGTCTGATCTAAGGTGCAAAGGTGCAGAAATTGGGAGTGATTTGAGATGCGACAGCGCAGGAATTGGTGTAATTTGAGATCTGGTGGTGCAGGAATTGAGAAGGCCTGAGGTGTGAAGGTGCAGGAGTTTGACTGTTCTAAAGTGTGACAGGAACTGGAGCTCCTCGGTGGTCTGAAGGTGCAGGAATTGGGCTGATTTGAGGCGTGACGTTGCAGGAATTGGAACTGATCTTAGGTAGGAACGTGAAGGATTTGGGGCTGATCTGAGGGGTGAAGGTGCAGGAATTTGGGTGATATGTGGTGTGAATGTGCAGGAATTGGGGCTGATCTAAGGGTGAAGGTGCAGGAATTGGGGCTGATCTAAGGGTGAAGGTGCAGAAATTTGGGCTGATCTGAAGCTTACAGATGAACGAATTGGGGTGATCTGAGGGGTGAAGGATCAGGAATTGGGGTGATCTGAGGAGTACTGGTGCAGGAACTGGGGTGATCTGAGGAGTGAAGGTGCAGGATTTGGGGTTGATCTGAGGGGTGAAGGTGCAGGAATTTGGGTGATCTAAGGTTTGAACGTGCAAAGTTCAATATTCATTTCTTACTAGTATTCAAGTCGTTTACAGCATTTCCTTAATAAAAATGTATTTTCGTGATTGAGAGTGTGAAGTTGACATTTTTTATACTACTGGCACTTTCAATTTCTTTGAAAACAGTTTTCAGCACACAATGCTCAAAAGGTTGCCTACCCCTGTTGTAGACTTTTCTGTTTGATGAGGTTTGCTCCTGGAAAGTTTCCTTTTCAATATTGTTGCTTAAAAAAATGTATAAAAAAATATATATCTCATCAAGTATATGTCATCTGTAACCAGTTACAACAAGGCTATAAAAGAACATTGTGGCCTGCTCCCCAGCTATATGCCCCTACATTTGCACTCAAAAGATTTTGTTGGTCCTGCTTGTGACATATCTGGTGGATTCAACAAAAGATACCTCTGATGCCATTGTAAAGTGGAGCTCCACCCAAAAGGGGAAGTTCCGCTTTAAGGACTGCTCCCCCGCTTCCCATTAAGGATTGGCACCTTTGGAGAGCGGGTACCCGAATTCGACAGGTACCCGCTCCCGCTTCCGGTCCGATCACCTAGGTGATCGGAAGCAGAAGATGTCCTTCCTGCCTCCCTCCCTCCCTGTAGTCTTTTGGGACACATGACAGGTCCTAGAAGACTACAGGACCATTCATGAAGAGCAGCGCTACTCGCGTATGCGCACTGGGTACCCGGCAAGCTATCACACCTGGATGTCCACACTGAAGATGCTCACCTCCTGGAATACGGGACAGCCGGTGAAACGAGCTGCGGGGGACACACCGCTGGACCGAGGGACAGGTAAGTGGCTGTCTTTTAAAAGTCAGCAGCTACAGTTTTTGTAGCTGCTTTAATTTTTGATAGGTTGAGTGGAACTCCGCTTTAAGAAGCAGTTGGAGAAGTTGCCTTAGACCTTGCTTACACTTGTGCCTCTTTTGCAGGGGAGAGAGGACAGTAAAACATACATCCTAACCCTACTCTCGCCTATTACACATTTGGATTTATTTTTTCTGTGTAACAAGTACCTTTAGCAGCAGGTTCTTGCTCGCTTTTCCTCAGTCCTTATCTAGGCAAAGATCACATAACTATGGTACCCTATGGCACGTAACTATGGCACCCTTTGGTACGTAACTATGGCACCCTATGGTACGTAACTATGGTTCTGGCAAGAAAGGCACATATGTGTCTATGGTGGCATGGGGTTATTGAAAACACGCTCACTGAATGCTCCCAGCACACTGAGCTTTCACCAACAGCTCTCAATCATAGCTTCTGTTCCGGAGACAGCAAAATGGGCTCCTGAACATGTGACCAATGTAACAGCCAATCACAGTGGCCACGTTACAGAAGCCACTATGCCTGGTGGCCTTTTAACTGGGCTTTAATGCTGGCAGTGCAGTTTCTGTATCATATGACCGCTAAGGAGTTATAAGGTCAATAAGTGGTTAATGTATTTTCTTTCTATGCCCCCCATCCCCAAAGTCTTACCTGCGATCCCTTGTCATTGCCACTGCTCCAGCATTATCTGCACCTCTCCTCCATCTTCCGGGTTATAGTAGATGGCACTGAGGGCAACATAGCGATAGGGTCTTGCTGCCATCAAATTGCTGGGAAGAGGAGGTTGCATGGGTGTGTCCTGTGTGTCTAAGAATGCACACAATACCAGCCAGGAGTGTGCACACACAGGTATCTCCTTAGCACCTGCAAGCAGGCAGTGGGAGCCAGCAAAAAAAATTTAAATTGATGACTCATAATGTGAGTTGTATAATTATATTATTACTGTAATAATACCAGTTCATACCAGAACCCCACCTCCACCTTGCTGGCGTCTGATTTGAAGTGGTGCTCCTTGCCCAATAGTGATCCAGCCATGGGCACATCCAGGGGCATATTTACCACATGGCAAATAAGGCATTTGCCTAGGGTGGCATTTTTCAGGGGGGCAGCACCGCCCCCTGGAAGAAGGGACACTTGCATCATGGGGACCAGGAGGGTAACGAGAGAGGCTGTGGGCTGCTTGATGGTGTATGCAGAACCCAACTCTCATTCCCAGGGATGTCCAAAGCTGTGAAGGTGAGTTTCTTTTTCATGTGTGTTAGTGGAAAGTTCTCTTGGGTGGGGGGGACAGGGGTGTTGTTGGTCAATTTCAGGCTCGCTCCGCTAAGGATGGGGGGGGAGGGGGGTGGGGTGTCTGATTTTTGTGTTGCCTAGGGCAGCACAAAATATAAATACACCACTGCGCCCATCCATCTGGTCCATCTAAAGTCATTCTCATCAGTCCATAAAACCTTTGAAAAATTTGTCTTCATATTTCTTCATCCAGTCTTAACGTTTCAACTTATGTGTCTTGTTCAGTGGTGGTCAGGTTTCAGCCTTCCTTACTTTGACCGTGTCTCTGAGCACTGAATACCTTGTACTTCTGGGCACTCCAGGTAGGTTGCAGTTCTGGAATATGACAGCACTTGAGGATAATGGCTTCCTGGTAGCTTCACGTTGATTCTTCTCAAATCTTTGGCAATTAATCTGTGTCTTTTTTTCTCAACACATTTCTTTCGCCCTTGTTGACTATTTGCAACAAACGATTGATGGTTCTGTGATCACACCCCAATATCTTAGCAATTTCAAGAGTGCTGCATCCCTCTGAAGGACTTTTTACAATTTTTGACTTTTCAGAGTCAAAAGAGTTCAGAACCAATCAGCTTCCAGGTTTTATTGTCAAAGCTTCATTGTAGAATCTAAGTGGTTACTATGCACAGCTGCACCAGATTCTGAGTGCTCCAGTTTTAGTAAGTCTCACCCAGTGTATCTTTTTCTCCATCCAAGAGGAGAAATGGTACAGGGGCAAGTTATACAGTGACTGATCACAGGCTATCGCAGCGATCATGTTATTGGTAGCCAGTCCTTCCGGATTCCAATCAATGGTATAAGACATGGACCTGTTGGTGACAGCTTGGTCTCTGTGATGGGAGAGTGCTATGCAACAGGCTCTCGGCACAAACACAGGTACACACATACGTGGCCCCATGGACGAAGGCCCTTCTGTAAGACCACATATATGCGTAAGGTCAGTGAGAAGTGGTATTTTTTTTTTTAACCCGCAGTGGTGCACACAAAAACAAAACACACGTAGGACCAGGGCTACTGTTAGAAACCTCGGGGCCCCATACAGCCAACCTGACAGGGCCCCCCCCCCCAAAAAAAAACCCCAGTTTATTATACTTCAGTTATCAATGAACACATTGAGTGATAGGTACTGATCACTCATTGTGTTCATTCAGGAAAGGAAAGGGTTGGTAAATGTGACATATTTACCAGACCCTTCCCTAAGTCTCCACCCTGAAGGATCCTATTGCGTGACTGCAGTTGCTGGATGGAAAGGAGAGGAGGGAAGCCGGCAGCACTGCAAGAGTGGGGGCACACAGGGGGCCTGGGCAGCAAAGGGAAACATGTGGTGCACAGGGAGGGTGATGGGTGCGGCGGGAAGGGAAATTACTGGAATCAATCCCATGTATGTTTCTCTCTGGAGCTGATGAAAGCCAGCGGGAGGGAAAGGAGAAGAAGCCAGCTTTCAGCTACTACAGGGAGAGCCATACAGGGGATCGATTCCAGTAATTGCCCCCCCCCCCTTGTGTCGATCACAATCCCTGCCCACAAATTTGATTCACTCAGCTGCCTCGGCCCCCCTGCTGGCCTGGGACCCATACAGGAGTACTGGTGGCAACCCTGTATCCACGGCCCTACGTAGGACCTTGCTCTATCCCCCCAAGGTGCAAGACTCCAGACAAGGGCTGGGCATACTCACTGTTCACCTAGCCAAAAGGCCTGGCGGATTGCTCTCCTCATAGTCAGCTGAAGCTGACCACCACGTACTAGGTGAGGGGCTCTCCCGAAGAGAGACCCCCGGTTTAGGGGAGGGAGAATCCTCTTTCCTCCGGATCCCACTTAGGATGGTCACCTAAGCAGCAATAGAGGATAAATCTTCAATTTGGTACAACTAGTGGTTCCCTCAGTTTGGAAGGATTTCCTGTTTTGAATTATGGACAGGAATTGAAGGGAAATCTCCCCAATGGGACACTAGATAGTAAAAATAAAACCTGACTGGGGCTATAACCCCCCATTACTCTATCAGAAAATAAAAAACTTCTCCCCCCTCCCTCTCTTGTCAATGGACATTTTTTTTAAGTACTTAATTTAACCACTTCAGCTCCGGAAGGTGTTACCCCCTTCATGACCAGGCTATTTTTTGCTATTCGACATTGTACTACTTTAACTGGTAACTGCGAAGTCATGCAGCGCTGTATCCAAACAAAATTTATATCATTTTTTTTCACACAAGTAGGGCTTTCTTTTGGTGGTATTTGATCACCGCTGTTTTTTTTGTAATTTTCTGTGATATAAACAAAAAAAAGACCAAAAATTTTGATAAGAAAAAAACAATATTTTTTACTTTATCCTATAAAACATGTTTTATAAAAAAAAAAACATTTTTTAAAATAAATTTTGGCTAAAGTAAATTCTGCTATGTTTTGATAAAAAAAAATCCAAATATATGTATATCGATTGGTTTGCATGAATGTTATAGCACTTACAAACTATGGTAAATATACTGGAATTTTAATTTTGTTTATACTACTAATGGCGGTGATCAGCGACTTATAATGGGACTGCAATAGTGCGACGGGCAATCTGACACTAACTGGGGGGAACTGATTGTCACTGACAATAAATAGTGATCAGTAATAATACTATACATTATCACTGTATTACTGACACCAATGCCTAACTATGTGTAATGTCTGTAACGTGTGCTAATTTTATTACTGTAAAATCGCTCTCTCTGTACAGAGCTCTGTGTTGTTTACCAACACAGAGCTCTGGGTTTGTTATTGCACACAGCTGATCAGCAGGTCCTGACTGTGATTCATTGGCCGGGACTTGTTGACAAGCTCCCGCTGTGTATAAGCACAGCAGTTGCCAGGCAGGAGCGCAAGTGCGCATGCCCTAAACCCCAGAAGTAAGCAGCGAGGTACAGTTATGTTGCTTTGCCTATAGTGGCCGCCCATACGCAGTACATTGCAGGCAGGCGGTCGCCAAGTCCTTAAGCTGCAAAACAGCACTTCTGTAACACACCTAGGTAAGACTTTCTCACTACCCATGCGCATTTGCAGATGTGCTGCAGGGCTCAGGCCAGAGTTCTGTAGTACAACGCATGTGCTGAGTTTCCTGCGCATGCGCTAAAGACTGTTACCAGTGAAGTCCAAATTCTTGTCTTTGCACATGTGCGGGAAATTCCTTGTGCATGCACAGACCCCCATGGGCACATCTGCACATGCACCATAATGGTGGTGCCCACGGTGGTGGAGCCAAGTGGAAGACGGACTGAAGTTCTGCTATAAGGCCATGTAACACCTTTTGTGGATAAATAAGGCATTTGTATAGATGGTGTGGGAACTCGCTTCAAAGTGGTAGAGCTTTTAAACGCACACAGCAACTCGCTTGCTTTTTTAAGGCCTTTTTTTAGCCCACTTTTATTTAAATGAAAGTTCAAAACAGAAGTTTCCCACACAGGGGTATCGATCATCCACAAAACAACGGTTCAGCCTCCTGGCTTATACTCAGCTTGCTGTCTGTCTCCTGCAGACTTCTTCAAGAATTATGGCTCGTGCACACAGCTGGCCATTAGCACACAGCTAGTCTCTAGCAGCCCCTTGCTGCTTTTGGCTTCCACCTCTCCTAGGTGAAGCCCACCTGACTTCCAGGCAGTGACCTCCTGTCTTCCAAGTGGAGCCCTCCTGACTCCTATCTGTCGGGGTGGAGCCCTCCTGACTCCTATCTGCCGGGGTGGAGCCCAGAACCCTGGTCCTGACTCTCTCTAAAGGCCTGCACACACCTGTGCAATCAGTCTCCTGGCCTATTCCAACACCTGGTCCCAGGATTGGAGATTTCATCCCTCCCAGATCTCTTTGAAATCTTCAGGCTCCAGATCCCAAAATGGACCTTACAAACAAAAGACGAAAGTGAAAAGCCGCTTTCCTCCATATCAAACACTTACCCTGGAGCCCCTCAACCTGCCTTGTTGAGAATCCTGGGTGACAGATTGCCACACTGTCACAATCGCTACACATCAGACCCAAACAAGGACCACAGAAAAGGAAAAGACAGGAAGCTTTTGTCCCATGGACAGTAAGGGCTCATGTACACTGCAGCTGATAAACTCACGTTTAGGAGCTTTTCTGCATTTTTTTCAGGAGCCCCTGAACGCTCCCTAATGTTTTCCTATGTGTCCATGTACACTATGTTGTTTACAGGCAGTTGAGTTTAGTCGTTTTTTTGAACGCACCAAACTTGCATTCAGGAGTAGATTGTATCAGTGTTTCAAACGCTTGTAAACGCAGCTAACCGCGTTTAGAAGCGTTTTTTTTAACTGTTCCATATCCAAATGCTGTCCAGAGCCTTATTTCCTCATCAGAAATGCATGCAAAGCGTTTCCCATGTATTCAAATGGACCGAGCACACCAGCGCAGTTCAAGGTTTTGGGATAAGGAAAAAATAGTAGAACGTGCTGCATTATGCTCATGATGGGATCCATAGTGAATACAACCAGAAAAAACAGGTCATCTCAACACATGCTGCTCTCTCTGCTTCTGCTCTCTTTATTTCTCTCAAGATGTCTGAAATAGTTATTTTTTTACTGTTTTTTAGTGCATTCTGGGCATTTTGGAACGTCTCCTGAGGTTATCCGTAACCTCTTGGATATGGCCGAACGCAAATGTGCGGCCTCCTGGCATCTGGGCCTAGACGCCGAGCGGCCGCACATTTGCGTTCTATTAAGAAAAAACATATGTGCCGAGAGCATGCGCCCTGCGCGCTCCCAGCACACATGTCTGATACTCATGGAAAGGTCCCAGTCTCCTCTTTCGATCGGGACCTTTCCCGATCATGTGACCGCCGTGACGACGTGTCACATGATCCCTAAACCCCGACCCACCTCCCGGCTTCTGAAACGCTTAAAGGGCCAGCGCCGGCGTGAAGGGGTTAAAAAACGCTTCTAAATGCTAACACACATAAACGCGGCATGCAAACGCGGCTAAACAGATGTTTTTTAACATACGCTTTCCATTGTTCAGAAGTGTTTTCCAAACGTCCCGTGTACATGAGCCCTTAGGCGGAATAATAATTCTATCACTTTTTTCTCGTCATGTAACTGAATCATTTCAGAATTACCATTCATCTTACAATAAACTGGTAGCTGCAACAGAGACTGTTACAGCAATACGTCGTGCAAAAATATTGTTTCCAGATGAAAACTGCTTCGTTTATTGTATATTTTTCTGCCCAAGACACACCAGTCAGGTCACCCACTTGCCATTAACAAAAATGGCGTCCGCCGCCCCGTTGCCAGCAGTTCAAATGGCCGCCCGCATACTTCTGTTCTTCCGGGTGTGCGGCGTTCTATCGCCAGTATGGAAGCGGCTACGGGGCATGTACTGTCCCAGGCTATGTCCGAGCTGTCCTCCTGCCTCGGGCGCTCTATCGTCATTCCTCGTACCCCGGCCGGTTACGCGGAGCTCTTCCAGGCGGTGGTGGTATGGGCAGCACCGGGATCGGACCCGGTCAGTCAGCAGAAAACGTCTGACAGAGCAAGCGCTGCCGCCAGAGCGGTCCTCTGTGTGCTGGATGCTTTAAGAGCCACATCACGTGACAACCTTACTACCGCAGGGGCGGGGTCGGCGTCTTTAGAGAAAACTGGGGACCAAATACTGAACAAGGAGGTGCAGCTTCAGAGTGGGAAAGGAAATGTTCCTGAATTGCCAGTGGATGTGGCTTCTAAACCTGATAAAGGAGCATGTAGTTCCTCTGGGAGTACATTGGATTCCTTGGGGGTGGGATCTGTGGATCTTCAGCGTGTCCTGGCCTGTGTTACCGCCCCGCTCCTCCTGCTGTGTGGGGCGCACATTCAGGAGAAACCATGGACGGATTCATGTTCCCGGTCTTTGGCTGAACAGTTGCTGCAGACATTACTGCGGATGTCGGACTGTGACTCTGTAGCTGACCTTCTGAAGGGACCCAATCGTCGCGAGCCAGACTATGTTATATTCAGGGAGGCGTTGGGGCTTCTTGGACTGCGTCTACGCAAGTGAGATCTTGGTTGTGTAATGGCTGCCATTTTTATGGAGATTGTCCAAGTCTGGTCCTAATTCTGCGGACCTGCAGGAGGTGGCCAATGGCCTTACCGTATAGAAGAAATCTCATTTCTTCTTTTATCACAGTGTTCTGTACCCCAGGGACTACTTTGTCCCATCTTCCTGTTTGTGGTGGAAGGCTAGCTTCATGATTGGACAGGGCGCCACCCTTCCTCCATGGCTGACCGACAACGTAGTTGGGCAAGGGAAAAGAAAATCTTGTCTTTAGATACGTTTTAAAGGAAAAGTCTATTTGTTTTAATTGCAGTCTTCTCTATGTTGTACTCTGTCCCATCTCTCTACCTGCCATGGAAGACTAACTGCATGGTTATGCAGGCCATACATGGTTCGAATTCCCAACGATTTTTCATCTGAAAATCGGAAACGTAGTTTGCTCGGTAATCCATTGGTGCCATCATTGATTTCAAAAATCAGCTGACCAAGTCATAAAGTTCACCTCATAAAACATACAAAACTTCTGTTCCTTCCAGGTCACGGCTTATGCACATATTTTTTGGAAAAACGATCGTAGGATTTCACCATCATTGAGCTGAAAATCTGTCGTTTTTCACAAATTTTCCAACATGCCCGATCACCGAAAAGGGAAGGAACCACGAAAATCATCCGGTGCCATTGACTGGCTAACAGCGCCAAAATTGGCCGATTATTCTTAGGTCTGATTTTCGGACAAAAATCGGTTGATTTTTGACCCATGTATGGCCGGCCTTAGACGGGGTTCCCCCTCCACTTCCCACGGCTGTCCGACAACGCAGCTAGGAAGGAGACACCTGTCTCTGTCGCCAAGCACCAACAAGAGGAAAGCAGAGGCTGACATGATTCCCCCACCATCTTCCTTCCTCTTGCTGATGCTTGTTTTGGAAAGTACTTGGAGACAGACAGGTATCTCCTTGGTAGCTGTGTTGTCGGACAGCCTTGGAAGGTGGAGGTGGCACCTTGGCCAACTATGTAGTTAGGTTTCCATAGCATGTAGGAAGATGGGACAAAGTGCTATACACAGAACACTAAAAAAAAAAAATTGAAAGAAAAGCGACTTCTTTAGGGCTCATCCACATTGGTGGTTTGGAGGGGAGGGGGAGGTGCTAAAATCCTTCCTTTGTGTCACACTTTTACCACCCTCCAATTGCTACCACCTTTAGGCTACGTTCACACTAGCTTTGTTGACAGGCGTTTGGGAAGCGTTAACGTTTCTCCAACACCTATGAAAATCCTGCACATGGCAGAACACAGAGCTGTTCACACTGAAGCGTTAGTGTTGCGTCCTGGCAAAACTGGCGCCTCATGTCGAGTCAAGAGGAGTTGAAGCCTCCCATTCAAGGCTATGGTGCCGCTCCTCAAATGCCTGGCAGGCGTTTGCGGTGCGCTTGCGACGCGTTTGAGAGTCGTTATTACCATTTAACTTAATTATAACTTAATTATAGGGGTTTGTGGTGCAGTTTTAACGTTTGGCAAACGCCTCAAAACCGCGCATAGGACGTTTGATGAGTGTTAAAAACGCTTCCCAAACGCCTGTCAAACGCTATAGGGGCGTTTGGCAAGAGTTAGAAATAAAGTCGAGTGTGAACGAGCCCTTAGTTGCAGAGGCAGCGGCTGGAAATGTACTCCAGGAATTCTGCCTGTCACTTTCAGCAGATGTGGCACCCATTGAACGTGACCCATTCAAGTGAAAGGGGCTGCTCTGCAACAATGAAATGCATGGGGTTGTGGCTTGCTAGTGTAGGGGTTAAAACAGGCGGTGAGGAGGCGATACAAAACTTCCTCACTGGCTGTGTCAAATGCTCTCTAAAGAGTGATCTGAATGCGGATTAATCATCAAAGAACACTGCAAGTTCGACCGAGTCTAGGTTCACACCTAAGTATTTTGCGGTGCGTTTTGCATTTTACAAAAACGTGCTACAGTTCATTTAACATGATTTTCTATGGGACAGGTTCACAGCTCCGTGGTTTCACCCAGTGCATTTTTTGGAAAGGGTCAGGGACTTTTTTTTAAAAGCAAAATGTTACGTTTTGGTTCAATAGACTTCAGCGGAGACACTGCAGAAATGCATGTAGTGAGTTTTTTTAATGCGTTTTGTGTTTTAATCTGCCCAGCAACAAGTTGTCAAAAAACCCCAAAACGCATCAAAAACACATGTGCAAAAACGCACCACAAAAAGCACTGCAGAAGCGGATCAAATGCAAACTACATAGGTGTGAACCTAGCCTAACAGTGTCTCTAGAAACAAGGCGGATTTTTTGGATATACTGTAGTAGGGAACAGTTAAAGCATCTGTGGTTATTTTTGTGAACTGTATCCTTTCTGGGGAAAATTGCCTTCCACTTCCTGGTTTACTCATTAGGCTGCGTTTTTAAGCCCCCCACCCTATTAAGCTGCAGAGACAGCCGGACAAGATTGTAAATGTACCTTTAAAAAAAAAAAAAAAAATGGCCACAGGGAAACCGCATGTTCTTTTTTGACCATGCGGTTCCTGCACCTGCAATCGCACTGCAGGCTGAGATGCGTGGGGGGGTTCTATTCAGAATGAATGGCAGCCATGTGACTCTTGCAAGAGCAGCATGACTCAGCTATGGGGGAACCAATGTGATTCCTGCACCCGCAAACAGGACTGCCAGTGCGGGCTAGTGTGACCCTAGCCTTAGTCTAGGTTCACACTTATGCAGGTTGTGTTTGAGGCGTTTCTGCATTGCGTTTTTGCCACATTTTTCTTATGCGTTTTGTGTTTTTTTTTTTTTTTTTCATTTTTTAAAATATTTCTTATTGGCAGATTTAAAATGCAAAATGCAGCAAAAACGCAATTCATGCTTTTCTGACCCTTTCCAAAAACGCACCGGGTAAAAACGCGGAGATGTAAACCTGTCCCATAAGAAATCATGTAAATGGACTGTACTGCGTTTTCTGCAAAACTCGGCAGAGAACGCTTAGGTGTGAACCTAGGGATAGAGTGTGTTCATCAGGTGTCTCCATGTTCTGGTGACAACTTAAATTAGATTTTTTTCCATCACTTTCTGAGGTTGAATTTCCCCAGTGAGCCAGCAATACAAAACCCTGCAGGCATTCCCTCTCCACGCTATTGAAAACTAAAAAAAAACATTTTGCTTTAAAGTAGAAGGGTTAAACAATATACACCCCCCCCCCCTCGCTTTCAGTGAGGAGGCAAATATACACATTCAGGATAATTCAAAGCGCACTATAACAGGTTAAAGGGAAATTCCACGTTTTGTCTAGAATTGAATATTCTTTAATGGGAGCTGAACTAGGAGGCTCTACCCCAAAAAGAAGGCATGCAGAATTCAAAGGAGGAGTCATCAGTACTGTCTGTATGCTCTCTGCAGTGATACAATAGTAACATCACCAGATCTTGCTTCATATCTCCTGAGACTAACAGTCATGGGCAGCAGTGCCTTAGATCTCACACTGCAGGTATTCAGCTATGAGTCTGTTGACACATGACTGTCTATGTACCTTCACATACCAGAAAGAGAGTTTTTTTTAGTTTTTTTTGTTTTTTTCTTTTAAGGAGGAATCCCAGACACAAGGCAGATGTTTAATTTTTCTTCTTGAGCACCATTATCTCATAACTTTCCCATAATATGGCAAATTGTCACTTTTTGAGCTTAGTTCTTATTTAACCACTTCAAGTCCGGACACTTTTACCCCCTTCCTGTCCAGGCCAATTTTCAACTTTCAGTGCTATCACAGTTTGACAATTACACGGTCATGCAACATTGTACCCATATGAATTTTTTAGCATTTTTTTGAGACAGAAAAAACTTCATTTTGGTGGTATTTATTCACCACTGGGATTTTTATTTGTTTTGCTATATAAATGAAATAGTCCAAAAATTTCGGGGGAAAAAAAAGTTTTTCTTATAAAATTTTGCAAATAATCTTTCTTCATAAATCTTGGCCAAAATGTATTCCGTTATCTTTTTAGTAAAAAAAAAATAACACTAATTAGTTTATAACCAAAAGTTATAACAATTTTAATATATATACATATATATATTTTAACATACTGTCACCCTAGCAGTACAGTAGTATAAGTACTACTTGTGGGGGGGTGATGATTTTTTTTTTTTTTTTTTTTTTTTTACACCCATAAAGGCTGTAAAAGCAATCATTTCTCCTTGTCTCTGACTGCATTCTTGCAGCCATTGAGAAATACTGTGAGAGCTGTGATTGGTCACAGCTTGTCACATGGTACAAGGCTGTTGTGAATAGCCTTGTACAATGTGAGCTCTGTGGCCATTCACAGATTTCACTAGTAGTAAGCAGTGATGTCAGGAAGTGACATCTTGCTTACTACTATTCATGTGATCACTGATTGGCCAATCGGTAATCACATGATCGGGACCTCACAAAGAGGTCCCGTACAGTGATCCTGACCGGAGGACACAGCGGGCACCGGATTGTGGTGCCACGCGTTCCCGGGAGCGCGCACAGGCTGTAAATGCGGGCGCTGTTTATGAATGGCAACCTGCTCCTGCATTGCTCCTGTCCAGCCATTTATGTACATGGGTCAGATGGGAAGTGGTTAATAAACTGCATAGCTAACAATTCAGGTAGTAAGAACTTGCTTTGTGGCCTTAAAGGAGAACAGTGGCCAAAGCTCTTTTGGCCCTTCTCCTCCTGTGGGTCACAGGAGTGCACTTAGTTCTGCACTCCTGTGACTTATTTTCAGCTGCCAGTAGGCAAAAGTCCGCTGTCAGCTGATGTCACTCTCACGCTCTGAATCGATTCTGACTTAAATGCCAGGATCCACCCAGATGCCTGGACCAGCAGCTGGATCAGCCTGTCAGCGAGCCATTGAGAGCCTGAGCCAGCCGCTCCCAATCCTTCCACAGTGCAGAGAGCCAATGCCTGATACCGTTGATTGCTCAGTTCTCGTTTTTATGCCTGGTATACATGTTATGTTTTTTTTTTTCATTCAACCCAGCGGGCTGAACGAAATAAAACTGAGAGATCGCTGTACTAAACAGGCAATGTCAGTACAGTAATCTCTCCTGCTATGCCTTTGTGTTCTTGAGGACAGATGCAGCATCTGCATCCACTTAGGTGTGTATAATTGATTTTTTTTGTTTTTGTTTTTTCAATTCCTGGACATCTTTTAATATTCTTGAAAAAAGTAATTTAACATTGTTGCATATTTAATTTTAGAGACACATGGGAATTACACCCAGATGCAAAGCTGGTCTTCTCCTGGATGCTGTATCAGGTTCCCCGACCTTGGCTTTCTGACTTCCTTGGTAGAGTTATGCCACCATCGCTCCTCTTCTCTGATGACTACAAGCCGGAGAACAAAGTGCTGGGAGTACAGTGCCTGCATCACATCATCAAGAATGTGGTAAGATGGCCATCAAATCATTGTACTGCAAATCATCATTGAGGAGATGCCTTTCAGCCTTTGTTAGGAGTTAATAAGAAATCCTTTTTGGATAAATGGCCTTGAACCTATTGTAAAAATTCAGGCCACGTTTCCTCGTTCCGGGCTGTCTTTGAGATCTGATGGGCATTATGGAAGGGCTTTGTTAGGTAATGAATTGGCTTCATAGAAAGCTCCATAGTTTCCCCTGATCTGCTGCCAGAGTATCCCCAAATCTATGTGTAACTTGTGAAAACCATTATAGGGCTCAGCTAATTTCTCCCCACCCCTTTAATGAAATACTGGGCCCTGGTGATTGACTGCTTGAACATCCAACACTGCATTATAGGGAGGCTGGAGTAGTGTTCCCCAGGTTCCTGCTATTTTGCCAATACTGCAGATGTAGGTTTGTTGTAAGTCCACATGAGTGGACTTTACCACTGGCAGTGTTTCAATGATAACATTAGAACTTTAGGGAGACCCTTTTTATTTGTTGCACTTTAAAAAAACAATTTTGGCAAATTTTTGCTTTGCATGGAGTATGAACAAGAAGCAAGTTGAACACCAGAGAAAAAGAGGCAGACAGCAATTAAAACACGACAGCTGTTCTAACCCTCCCTCCTCTAACCTGAAAAGCCTGAGGAAATCAAGGGAAATTACTCCTTAGGTGGGACAAACTGCAGTATAAACTCCAGAGGTTCTAACCCCATCACACTCTATCCAAAGCTATCTTTTGTGTAGATTTAGGATGACTGGCATTTTGATGACAATTGTGTGTGGTGCTGCTTTAATGCCCTATATACTGAACAGTTGGTTCTGGCCAGCTCAGAGGATTGCTTTAAAAAAGGCCTGGATTCTTTCTTAGAAACACAGAATATACAGTCAGGTCCATAAATATTCGGGCATCGACACAATTCTAACATTTTTGGCTCTATACACCACCACAATGGATTTGAAATGAAACGAACAAGATGTGCTTTAACTGCAGTCTGTCAGCTTTAATTTGAGGGTATTTACATCCAAATCAGGTGAACGGTGTAGGAATTACAACAGTTTGCATATGTGCCTCCCTCTTGTTAAGGGACAAAAAGTAATGGGACAATTGACTTCTCAGCTGTTCCATGGCCAGGTGCATGTTATTCCCTCATTATCCCAATTACAATGAGCAGATATAAGGTCCAGAGTTCATTTCAAGTGTGCTATTTGCATTTGGAATCTGTTGCTGTCAACTCTCAAGATGAGACCCAAAGAGCTGTCACTATCAGTGAAGCAAGCCATCATTAGGCTGAAAAAACAAAACAAACCCATCAGAGAAATAGCAAAAACATTAGGCGTGGCCAAAACAACTGTTTGGAACATTCTTAAAAAAAGAAGGAACGCATCAGTGAGCTCAGCAACACCAAAAGACCCGGAAGACCACGGAAAACAACTGTGGTGGATGACCGAAGAATTCTTTCCCTGGTGAAGAAAATACCCTTCACAACAGTTGGCCAGATCAAGAACACTCTCCAGGAGGTAGGTGTATGTGTGTCAAAGTCAACAATCAAGAGAAGACTTCACCAGAGTGAATACAGAGGGTTCACCACAAGATGTAAACCATTGGTGAGCCTCAAAAACAGGAAGGCCAGATTAGAGTTTGCCAAACGACATCTAAAAAAGCCTTCACAGTTCTGGAACAACATCCTATGGACAGATGAGACCAAGATCAACTTGGACCAGAGTGATGGGAAGAGAAGAGTATGGAGAAGGAAAGGAACTGCTCATGATCCTAAGCATACCACCTCATCAGTGAAGCATGGTGGTGGTAGTGTCATGGCATGGGCATGTATGGCTGCCAATTGAACTGCTTCTCTTGTATTTATTGATGATGTGACTGCTGACAAAAGCAGCAGGATGAATTCTGAAGTGTTTCGGGCAATATTATCTGCTCATATTCAGCCAAATGCTTCAGAACTCATTGGACGCCGCTTCACAGTGCAGATGGACAATGACCCAAAGCAGACTGCAAAAGCAACCAAAGAGTTTTTTTAAGGGAAAGAAGTGGAATGTTATGCAATGGCCAAGTCAATCACCTGACCTGAATCCGATTGAGCATGCATTTCACTTGCTGAAGACAAAACTGAAGGGAAAATGCCCCAAGAACAAGCAGGAACTGAAGACAGTTGCAGTAGAGGCCTGGCAGAGCATCACCAGGGATGAAACCCAGCGTCTGGTGATGTCTATGCGTTCCAGACTTCAGGCTGTAATTGACTGCAAAGGATTTGCAACCAAGTATTAAAAAGTGAAAGTTTGATTTATGATTATTATTCTGTCCCATTACTTTTGGTCCCTTAACAAGTGGGAGGCACATATGCAAACTGTTGTAATTCCTACACTGTTCACCTGATTTGGATGTAAATACCCTCAAATTAAAGCTGACAGTCTGCAGTTAAAGCACATCTTGTTCGTTTCATTTCAAATCCATTGTGGTGGTGTATAGGGACAAAAATGTTAGAATTGTGTCAATGTCTCAATATTTCTGGACCTGACTGTAACTGGATACTAACATTTATAGGTAAAGTTGATCCAGGGAATATCCGATTGCCTCTCGGGGGATCAGGAAGGAATTGTTTCCCTTGCAGGAGCAAATTGGATCATACTTTGCTGGGTTTTTTGCCTTCCTCTGGATCAACTGTGGGTATAGGATTATAACTTTTTTTTTTAGTTGAACTGGATGCACTTTTGTCTTTTTTCAGCCAGACTAACTATGTAACAGAAGTGTTATGCTGCAGAGAGCAAGCCATCTTAGATCATGCTCTTGTATTTTCAGTATAAGCAGGAAAAGTGGATTGCATCTACTGTGCTGGGCACCTATAGAAGTCCTTTAGTGCTAACTGTATGGTGCAAGCAGTAACTTCAGCACTTCACAGGAAAGAATAAAGGTAACTGCTGTAAACTGCCTCACAGGATTGAATGAATTAGCATTGCTAGTAGCTAAGGCCATTAGGTTGGATGTCAAGAGACATAAACAAAAAATTGACCAACCTACAGTGCCTTGAAAAACTGTTCATACCCCTTGACATTTTCCACATTTTGTCATGTTACAACCAAAAACATAAATGTTTTTTATATTGGGATTTTATGTGATAGACCAACACAAAGTGGCACATAATTGTGAAGTGGAAGGAAAATGATAAATGGTTTTCAAAATTGTTTACAAATAAATATGTGAAAAGTGTGGAGTGCATTTGTATTCAGCCCCCCTGAGTCAATACTTTGTAGAATCACCTTTTGCTGCAATTACAGCTGTAAGTCTTTTTGGGGATGTCTCTACCAGCTTTGCACATCTAGAGAGTGAAACGTTTGCCATTCATCTTTGCAAAATAGCTCAAGCTCTGTCAGATTGGATGGAGAGCATCTGTGAACAGCAATTTTTAAGTCTTGCCATAGATCCTCAATTGGATTTAGGACTAGACTTTGACTGGGTCATTCTAACACATGAATATGCTTTGATCTAAACATTCCATTGTAGCTCTGGCTGTATGTTTAGGGTCGTTGTCCTGCTGGAAGGTGAACCTCCGCCCCAGTCTTAAGCCTTTTGCAGACTCTAGCAGGTTTTCTTCTAAGATTGCCTTGTATTTGGCTCCATCCATCTTCCCATCAACTCTGACCAGATTCCCTGTCCCTGCTGAATAAAAGTATCTCCACAACATGATGCTACCACCACCATGTTTCACGGCAGGGATGGTGTGTTCAGGGTGATGTGCAGTGTTAGTTTTCCGCCACACTTCGCATTTTGCTTTCAAGCCAAAACAATCAGTTTTGGTCTAATCTGACCAGAGCACCTTCTTCCACATGTTTGCTGTGTTCCCCACATGACTTCTCTCAAACTTATGGCTTTCTTTCAACAATGGCTTTCTTCTTGCCACTCTTACATAAAGGCCAGATTTGTGGAGTGCACGACTAATAGTTGTCCTGTGGACAGATTCTCTCATCTGAGCTGTGGATCTCTTCAGCTCCTCCAGAGTTCGCATGGGCCTCTTGGCTGCTTCTCTGATTAATGCTCTCCTCGCCCGGCCTGTCACTTTAGGTGGACGGTCATGTCTTGGTAGGTTTGCAGTTGTGTCATGCTATTTCCATTTTCGGATGATGAATTGAACAGTGCTCCGTAAGATGTTCAAAGCTTGGGATATCTTTTATAACCTAACCCTGCTTTAAACTTCTCCACAACTTTATCCCTGACCTGCCTGGTGTGTTCCTTAGCCTTCTTGATGCTGTTTGTTTACTAGTGTTTTCTAACAAACCTCTGAGGGCTTCACAGAACAGCTGTATTTATACTGAGACTAAATTACACAAGTGGATTCTATTTGCTAATAAGGTGAAGTCTGAAGGCAATTAGTTCCACTAGATTTTAGTTAGGGGTATCCAAGTAAAGGGGGCTGACTATAAATGCACGCCACACTTTTCACATATTTAATTGTAAAAAATTTTGAAAACAATTTGTTATTTTCACTTCACAACTATGTGCCACTTTGCGTTGGTCTATCACATAAAATTTACGTTTTTGATTGTAACATGACAAAATGTAGAAAATATCAAGGGGTATGAATGCTTTTTCAAGGCACTGTATCTTCATCCTTTTTTTTTTTTTTTTTTTCTTCTATTCATAGAGGCAATGGTAGCTTAAAGGCTACATTCACCTTTGTAATAAAATGTACTATGCAGTCCAGGGGCCTCAGTACTTTTAAAAACCACTACAGTTTAGAAAATTGGACCTTCGTTTAAATGCCATGTGTTATTGGCCAAGCTTCGCTTCCTCACAGCCTGGCCAAAAAACTATCATTGGGAGCGATCCATCCTCATTCGGGACATACTGTGTGTTAGGCACACCCCCAGCATCACAAGAAGGAACACTCTCTCTCTTTTGAGACCAATGCATGTGGGGTACCGTCTCTGTCTCCTTGGGGACAGAGGGAGTACTCAAGGGAGAGTACTTGTTCCTGTTAGGCTGGTCAGCTGGGGGCGAGCTTAATGGTTAGAGCTTCCCAGCTTCTATTCCAGGAAGAGTGGACTAACAGGATGGTACTTTATTGGACAGGCTTGGGGAAGCAAAGATTGGCTTATAGGTATGGCATGTAAACTAAGCTAGATAATGTTTCTTACACTGCCTGGACCATTTAAATTCATTGTAATTTTTTATTTATTTTTTTTTTAAGTTGAAATTAACTTTTATATGTATCTGATGTTGGTCTGAAGTGTCCTAGGTGCAGGTATACCTCTGCGCTGGCATACTCTAATGTCAAGTTAGTCCTGCTTATGGGGTTGGGCTGAATTCATAATCGATGTCTGTCTCCAGAATCAATAGACTACTTTTTCCAGTGAGATTTTGAATGTCATTATGAAGCTAATACACATATTTTGCTTTGTGTAGCCAGCAGCAGACTTGAGGCAGTACAATCGGGCAATGGTTGTTTATCATGCATTGCGTAACCACCTATATACAACAGAGGCTGAGGTTATTGAGGTAAGGAATTAAACTTTTTTTTTTTTCGTGCAAATTCTAAAAAGCAATTCTGTCCTCTGAAGCCTCCCCTCTTTTGCTTACTGACCTCTGATCCAAAAACCTATTCCAGTCAATTGAAAACTGTTATAAGCTCAAATGATGTTTGATATACTTTTCTGCCCTTGTCTAGTTCTTGTTTTTTTTTTTTGTTTTCCCCCTTTTTTTTAACCACTTCCAACTCCGGACACTTTCACCCCATTCCAGTCCAGGCCACTTTTCAGCTTTTAGCACTGTCACACTTTGAATGACAAATTTGCAAATAAATAATCTTTCTTCAGAAATCTTGGCCAAAATGTATTTTGCTACCTTTTTGGTAAAAAAAACCCCAAATCAATTTCTAGAAAAATAATTATAATTTTTTAAAAAAACCATTTTTTTACATTTTTGTTTCTTTAAGTTATTTTACGTCTTTTTTTATTTTTACATACCTACACCCTAGCAGTATAGTGACACTGTACTACTTGAGAAGGGCGATCAAGATTTTTTTTTTTTTTTTTTTTAACACTGTGATTGTTTTTACACCCATAAAAGCATTCCAGCAGCCATTGAGAAATGCTGTGAGAAGCTGTAATTGGTCACAGCTTATCACATGGTACAAGGCTGCTGTGAATGGCCTTGTATTATGTGACCTCTGTGATCATTCAGAGAATTCACAAGTAGTAAACAATGTCAGGATGTGACATTTTTACTACTGTTCATGTGATCACTGATTGGTCAATCAGTGATCACATGAATCCAGATCTCACACAGCGGCCCCATACAGTCCGGTTAACACAGTGGCCACAGATCGCGGTTCTGTGCGTTCCCATGGAGCATGCACAGGCAATGGATGTGGGGGGACGTTTAGAAAAGTCCTCCTGCATCGGCACTGCTCCTGTCTGACCGTTTATCGGCATGGGCCAGACGGGAAGAAGTTAAAGCTAACCTGTGGGACCCAATGACATTTCAAAGTGACAATTAACTAATCTTTTTAATCAATCTCTTCTAACTGGAGAAGTTTTCAGTAACTGATAGGGTGTGCATGTTACAGGTATAACATGTTCAGAAAGGTGAACTTGGCTTTTAAGGATGCCCTGTACAGCAACTGAGGATCTCCGAAACCTAGGGTCATCTGTTATGGACACAGCCGTGGTTCTTGACTCGGTGCCGCCTGCGTCTCATACCTGACTTTACTACTTGGGGCCCACGTGCTCAGAGCAGAAATATAATGCTGTGTTACCTTACTGGAATTAGAACTTTACCTACAATTCTGTAAAAAAAAAAAAAAAAAAAAAAAAAAAAAAAAAAAAAATATATATATATATATATATATATATATATATATATATATATACAGTTGCAAGAAAAAGTATGTGAACCCCTTGGGATTACGTGGAGTTTTGCATGAATTGGGCATAAAATGTGCTCTGAACGTCATCTAAGTCACAACAACAGAAGAACACAGTCTGCTGAACATAATACTACACAAACATTAGATGTTGCCATGGTTTAATTGCACATAACATGTAAACATTCACAGTGCAGGGAGGAAAAAGTATGTGAAGCTTTGGACTTAATAACTGGTTGACCCTCCTTTGGCAGCAATAACCTCAACCAAATGTTTCCTGTAGTTGCAGATCAGACTTGTACAACGATCTGGAGTAATTTTGGACCACAAAACTGTTTCAGTGTAGCAATATTCTTGGGATGTCTGGTGTGAATCGCTCTCTTAAGGTCATGCCACAGCATTTCAATCGGGTTGAGGTCAGGACTCTGACTGGGCCACTCCAGAAGGCGTATTCTGTGCTGTTGCAGCCATTGTTTTGTTGAATTACTTGTATGCTTTGGGTCATTGTCCTGTTGCATCACCCATCCTCTGCGGAGCTTTAGTTGGCGGACAGATGGTCGTACGTTTTCCTGCAAAATGTCTTGATAAACTCTGGAATTCATTTTCCCATCAATGACAACAATCCGTCCAGGGCCTGAGGCAGCAAAGCAGCCCCAAACCATGATGCTCCCTCCGCCATGTTTTACGGTGGGGATGAGGTTTTGATGTTGGTGTGCTGTGCCTTTTTTTCTCCACACATAGTGTTGTGTGTTCTTCCCAAACAACTCAATCTTGGTTTCATCTGTCCACAGTATATTTTTCCAGTAGTGCTGTGGAACATCCAGGTACTCTTTTTCAAACTTCAAACGTGCTGCAATATTCTTTTTGGACAGCAATGGCTTCCTCCGTGGTGTCCTCCCATGTACTCCATTCTTGTTTAATGTTTTCCTTATTGTAGATTTGTCAACAAAAATGTTAGCATGTTCCAGAGATTTCTGTAGGTCTTTAGCTGACACTCTGGGATTCTTCTTTACCTCATGCAGCATTCTGCGCTGTGCTCTTGCAGTCATTTTTACAGGATGACCACGCCTAGGGAGAGTAGCAACAGTGCTAAACTTTCTCCATTTGTAGACAGTCTGTCTTACTGTGGACACATGAACATCAAGGCTTTTGGAGATACTTTTGTAACCCTTTCCAGCTTCATGCAAGTCAACAATTCTCGATCGTAGGTCTTCTGAGAGCTCTTTTCTGCGAGGCATGGTTCACATCAGACAGTGTTTCTTGAAACCAGTAAACCAAAACAGGTGTGTGTGTTTTTTAAGGGCAGGACAGCTGTCAGCAACACATCCAATATCATCACACTGATTGGAGTCAAGGTTGGCTCACTCCTGGCTCCAATTAGCTCTGGGAGAAGTCATTAAGCTAGGGCCTCACATACTTTTTCCTCCCTGCACTGTGAATGTTTACATGTTATGTGCAATTAAACCATGGCAACATCTAATGTTTGTGTAGTATTATGTTCAGCAGACTGTGTTCTTCTATTGTTGTGACTTAGATGACGTTCAGAGCACATTTTATGCCCAATTCATGCAAAACTCCACGTAATCCCAAGGGGTTCACATACTTTTTCTTGCAACTGTATGTGTATGTATATATATATATATATATATATATATATATATATATATATATATCTCTATCAGGGAGTCTGGAACATATTATTTCAAATCTGGGATCTGAAACACACCATTTAAATACTCAAGTCCATGAACCATACCTGAGCTGCTTACCTGCAATCCTGTCATATGGATTACTAAGGATCAGAAGATAAGCGAGTAGAACAAAAAATTAGTCTGCAAAACCTTTTTTTTTTTTTTCTTTTTATCGCAGAGGTTTTATTGAGAAAAGACAAATATCAAACTGTTACAGATTCCAGAATAAGAACATTATGAACATACAGGAGATGGCACCATCATACAGCAAATCCACAGCACTGTATATAATCATATTAACATTTTCAGCACTATTCCTTAAATCCACACTGGTATCTGAGGGCAGCATAACATCAACTACTCATACATTCAGAGGATATATTCCACTGATTAGTTCACAATAGCCTGTCTAAAATTAGATCTGTCAGGGACAACCCAGGTGTGTCCAGCCCACGGGTACCATATGGTATGGAATTTACCATTGCACCCAATGTGTTGGTAAATATACTTTCCAAGACGTATTGTGTCGCCCATTTAAGTTACCCATTCTTCCAGCGTGGGTGGTCAGCTGATTTCCAGTGTCTTACGGGCTATGGGCTTGAAAGAGAGCCCTAGCAATGCCTTGTTTTAGAGTCTACAAAACTTTGACAGGATTGTGGATAAGTGTTTTTGGTGTTACCTCTGCAATATGTGAATGAGTCCATTGTGGGCCTCTAATATAGTTCCACCAGTGTCCTGGACACGATTATTTTTTTGCTGGATTGGATCTTTCTACAAAATTGATGCTGACATATGTAAGTAATTCAGTTTTCTGTTGTATCAGGTAGTCCTGCCATGCCTGATGGACTTGTTTCCTGTCCTACACAAACCTCCACCAGCCATGGGCTTATTTCAGAAAGATGGAGAGAACCCGACAGACCAGGTGATGCAGCTGATCCTCACACACATGGAGATGGAGCATAAGATAGCCCTGCGGCGCCTGTATGCCCGCAACCTACCTGCCCTCCAAGAAAGGTTCATATACATGTTTACTTTGGAAAAGATTAAAGTAATAATACTGATAGTAGTCACTCCACTGGCACAATACATCTGGGCTATAAACTTTTGGGAGAACCATATCTATGTGGGGGGAACCATATCCATGTGGGTGTTTGCTTTTATTTAGTAAAAGTTGAAATGCTGGTAAGTTGGTTGCCTAAGCAACCTAAGGAACTTTCTTCATAACATAGTTAGAGGTGCGTCTTATTATGGAGAAGGACAGTGGGAAGTCAGGGTAATTGCTCATTATTTATCTCAGTGCTGTTCTTTTCCAACATACAGCACTTTGCAATAACCATTACAGGAGTGCAGCTGAGCTGTGCTGTTCAGTGCTTATGGTCCATGTCCTCTAAAACGGCAGAGACTGCAAGTATTACGTTGATTGTGCAATTGTGACAGAGGGAGAGCTATATCTTGGAAAGAACAGCTTGGAGATAACTGTAATTAACATATTAGTTGAATTGATAGCAAGGGATTTTAAGGCAAGTACACAAACCTTTTTTTTTTTTCTTCCAGCTTGGATAGAGTGGGAAAGGATTCTGTCTGTGGGAAATTCATTCTCTACTGCTACTGGTTGTGGTGACCATAGCCACCGGTATTGAAAGAGAAGGAAAATCTAACATTTTTGAGTTGTCCTATAAACAGTACTTTGGAGAGATGTCCTCCTACTTCCTGCTGTGCTTCTGGCTTAGGTAGTGTAAGAAAACCTCCCTGATGGGATATAGAGAGGATACAACCTGGGGTCTTAACTCTACTCTGTCTAAAACGTAGGAAAAAAAAAAACTTTGGCCTTTGCAGATCTTGCAACAAAATGCAAGGTCTACCTATTATGTCCAGCCATCCCCGTGTGTGTAAAAAAAAAAAAAAAAAAAAACTCATGACAATATTTGTCGAAAACAAACATATATATATATATAGGTTTTATATTCCCTAATCCCTAACTTATGCTCATGGCTCCTAGGGGAGGAGAGCAATGCCTTTTTTCTGGAGAGGCCTGGGGGAATACAGCGCAGCCTATATTTTTTGATAGGATACTCACCCAGTGTACTGAAGTGACTTGAGTTTTGGTGTGCACCGCATTCCCCAGAAATCTTCTGATGTCACAACATGGAAAACTGGGGCTAGGTGTGTGTGTGTAAAATCGAACCTCTTCTGAGTGTTTAAAAAAAAAAAAAAAGGGGGGGGGGGTGGAGATTGGTAATTATTGTGTACTGATTATGTTTTAGATCCGGGAAGGTTAAATTGCTATGTCTTACAGTTAGAATCTAGATAAACTTCAAAAAATACTGTTGAAACAGAATCTAGATCAATGTAGGGTTGATTTAATGTTAGAGAGAATTTTTTTATGTCTGGGGCATGGATGCACATTTTTGTGTATTTCTTTAGCACTGAAAGTTGCACACCAAAATATCCTGCACTGGTTCCTGATCCTGTTGGCGGAAAATAGCACACACCGGTCTGTAGTACCATTCAATTTGTGGTATTAGACATAAAAATGTAGTGCCAGTTATAACTATTTTCTTGCTGCAGAAACATTGAACCATCAAATGATTGCTGTATTGAGGGTAACCAGTCCTCAGGTGACTCACAAATCTTTCACTGTCAGAATTGGTGGCTATCACCTGTAGAAGATCATGGAAACTAATACTATATACACTGCTAAAAAAATGAAATGAACACTTTTTTTAATCAGAGTGTAGCATCAAGTCAGTTAAACTCCTGGGATATTGATCTGGTCAGTTAAGTAGCAGAGGGGGTTGTTAATCGGTTTCATCTGCTTTGGTGTTAATGAAATTAACAGGTGCACTAGATGGGCAACAATGAGACGACCCCTAAAACCGGAATGGTTTTATAGGTGGAGGCCACTGACTTTTTTTTCCCCCTACTCATCTTTTCTGACTGTTTTTTCGCTTGTTTTGCATTTGGCTAGGGTCAGTGTCACTACTGGTAGCATGAGGCGATACCTGGACCCTACAGAGGTTGCACAGGCAGTCCAACTCCTCCAGGATGGCACATCAATACGTGCCATTTCCAGAATGTTTGCTGTGTCACCCAGCACAGTCTCAAGAGCATGGAGGAGATGCCAGGAGACAGGCAGTTACTCTAGGAGAGCTGGACAGGCCCGTGGAGGGTCTTTAACCCATCAGCAAGACCATTTGTGCAAGGAGGAACCAAATGAGCACTGCCAGAGCCCTACAAAATGACCTCCAGCAGGCCACTGGGGTGAATGACTCTGACCAAACAATCAGAAACAGACTTCATGAGGGTTGCCTGAGGGCCCAACGTCCTCTAGTGGGCCCTGTGCTCACTGCCTGGCACCATAGAGCTTGACTGGCATTTGCCATTGAACACCAGAAATGGCAGGTCCACCAATGGCACCCTGTCCTTTTCACAGATAAGAGAATGTTCACCCTGAGCACGTGACAGACGTGAGTCTGGAGAAGCTGTGGAGAACGTTATACTGCCTGTAACATTGTTCAACATGACTGTTTTGGTGGTGGGTCAGTGATGCTCTGGGGAAGCATATCTATGGAGGGACGCACAGACCTCTACAGGCTAGACAATGGCACCCTGACTGCCATTATGTATCAGGATGAAATTCTTGGACCCATTGTCAGACCCTACGCTGATGCAGTGGGTCCTGGGTTCCTCCTAGAACACGACAATGCCCGGCCTCATGTGGTGAGAGTATGCAGGCAGTTCCTGGAGGATGAAGGAATTGATACCATTGAATGGCCCCCACGCTCGCCTGACCTAAATTCAGTGGAACACTTTTTGGGTTATCATGTTTCGGTCCATCCGACGCTGCCAGGTTGCACTTCAGACTGTCCAGGAGCTCAGTGATGCCCTGGTCCAGATCTGGGAGGAAATACCCCAGGACACCATCCATCGTCTCATTACGAGCATGCCTGACATTGCCAGGCATTCATACAAGCACGTGGAGGCCATACATACTACGGAGTACCATTTTGAGTTGCTGCAATGAAATTTCAGCAAAATAGACTAGCCTGCTGCATAATTTTTTCACTTTGATTTTTGGGGTGTTTTTGAATTCAGTCCTCTGTAGGTTGATCCTTTTCATTCCCATCAAACGATGGGGCATCATTACGTTCCTAACACATTACCCAGTCCATATCAGTAAGACATCCAGCATGATATTTTTCCCCATTGAGATCTGATGTGTTTTCAAAGTGTTCCTTTCATTTTTTGAGCAGTGTATTAAGATTATTATTAATAATGAGCAGATGTTTGCCCTCCTCCCTCCCCCTTGGATGCCAGTGCACACTAAGCCAGTCCTGGGCCCGCAGGCGGGCAAGCACAGCCCGGGGCACTTGGCGGGTGGGGGGAGGAGCTTCACACTGGGCGGGGAGGGTGCTGAGGCTGGCAGCGTGGGCTGGGTGGAAGCAATCAAATGCTTCCACCTGACAGGGCTAAAGGATAAAAATGATCTACCTGCCTGGAAACTACATGTCCCAGGTGTTTGGGTGATACAAATTCAACATCCCATGTATGTATGTATGTATGTATAAAATAAAGTGTGTACATTTTCCCTCCTATTTCACACCTTTTTGTCTCTAATCTCACTTCTTCTTGCAGGCTAGGTGTAAGGGTAGTCCGCCACATGAAAAGGCTGCTGCGTGTCATAGTTGGTTATCTGGAGGTCTATGATGGACCAGAAGAAACTGTCCGGCTATGTATCCTGGATACCTTACAGGGGACCATCAAGTATGCATGGCCTAGGTGAGCTTATTGATGAGCTTGGCACCCTTTCAGAAAAACAAATAAAACCCTGCAAGGCAATGGCATAATGTATACATATCTCTAGTATGCTTTAGAACGAAGCCCTCAGTGGTGCACTGTTACTGCTGACAGGGCTTCCATCTTCCCCTGGTCTTCCTTCGGGGTTTACTGGCTCCAGTTCTTTGTTGAATGATGACACCACTCCCACACTGGAGTCACGGTTTATGGCACAGAGCTCTGAGGGACGGTATATCCATGCATGCACTGGTGACATCACTGACTGCAGTGTGAATATCTCTCCTAAACACAGCATGTTTAGGAGATAATCACCCTATCTACAGGTAAGCCATATAATAGGCTTTTCTGTAGGTACAAGTTCAAAAGTGGTGTTTACTACAAAGCTGCTTCCCAGATTAAGGTGCCTACAGATCATTCACCCTAACTGGCAAGTTACATTCAGACTAGGGAATCTTCAAATGTTGGCAGGGCCCTCTCACCCTGGCTGATGGGGAAGGCTTGGGGAAAGGAGGGTGTTAATTGGTCAGGTTGAATTTTCTTTGCTTGTCTATTGTTCCCATTGAGCCATCTGGTTCCTGCAGCACACCCCCTGCTTCCCTCATAGGCACATACAAGCAGGTTATGGCACTGCAAATTTCATATTTGTAGGTGATATTTATTGAAAATTTTTAAAACCATCTAATGTCCTTAGGAAGCTTACAGCTTATCTCTGGTCTGCATTTAAAAAAAATGAAATGTGCGTATATATGAGCTATAATAGGAGTTTAGTCTAGAAGCATTCTTACCTTACTCCATGTTCCCGTGACAGCCAGAGGTCTGGTCTCCTCTCTCACCCCAGAATGTGAACAACCCTCAATATCATAATGCAGAACCAGCAGTGGTTTTTTATAATACAATATTCAATTTCTCTACAAAGTGGCCTTTTGCTTTCATCTTTCAATAACACACCCTTGTTTGTTTCCTAGAATCCCACCCAGAATACCACTGCTAGTGAAGGCACTACTGAAACTGATGTATGATGTCTCCGCTGACCCAGCCCAGCATTCTGAGCCAGTTCGGGAAGCTTTACTGCACAGTGCCACAGAGTGTCTGGTGCTTCTAGACTGTTGTTCCAACGGACAAGTCAAGGTGAGCTGGCAGACTACACATAGTTATGTCGTAAAGCTGGCTAAAAATAGAAACAGAAAAATTACGTCAAAAAAAGAACCGAGTGGTCCATCGTCATCCTTTTTTTTTTTTTTTTTTTTTTTTTTTCTCGTTAATGTTTTTTGAGTATAGATCTATGTATGTCCCAAGCATGTTTGAAGCCATTTACTGTTGACTGGCTCACTACTTCTGATGGAAGTTTATTGCAAGCATCAACTACCCTTTCAGTAAAAAACTTTCTAAGATTAGTTTGGAACGTTCCTCTAGTTAGTTTGAGGTCCTGTCCCCGTGTTCTTGATCTTGGTTTTATATAGAAAATACTGCCCTCCTGAATGTTATTTACCCCCTTGATATATTTAAAGATTTCAATCATGTCTCCTCTTTCCCTTCTTTCCTCCAGACTACGTATTTGGTTCCTGAAGTTGCTCTTGATATGTTTTATCCCCCAGACCTTTTACTATTTTTGTTGAATAAGGAAAACTCTCAGAAGGGGAGCAATAGTTTTTATCCAGCCAAAACACTTTTTTTTTTTTTTTTTCTAATTTTGAATAAAGTGGGTAAGGTTTATAAACTTCCACTGGATAATTAATCTGCGACTAAGACTATATCCAGTGTTGGGACAATGTCATCTGGCAGCCAAAACAAGGCTTCCAATGCACTCCCTCTTAAAAATTCACCCACCGACCCCTAAATTGTGACTGACGAGAGAAGGAGAGCAGTGAGAAATCTTGTGTTTTTTGAGCTGCAAAGTAAATTCTCACACACATGTACACACACAAAAAAAAAAAAATTTAGTGTGCGGCTTAAGATTTTAAAATTTTTTCTGGGCTGACTTTTTAACTACTCCTGTTTACTTAAAAAACATAGTAACCACTGTCTGGATTGTGGATCATAATGTGTATGGTTTTTATTTATTTTCCCCCATTTTCTGCAGACTGCACTGGAAGGAGTCAACACGATTTGTAAGGATCATGACATGGAGAAGTACATTAACAGAGTGCTACAGGATGCACACCAGTGACAAAAATAAACTTGGACTGATATTCTATTTTTTAAATACATGATTTCTTTATTGTCCTGTCAGTTGATATTTTTTTTTTTTCTTTCAAACCAAAATATTTGACACTTTGTAGTCACTGTCCCTAAAAATGGATTGTATTGTCACTTGTCATAGAATCACAGATGTAAGCACTAGTGACCTATTCCATTTCATAGCAATCTAAAGGTCTTCCTATCACTTGTCTCCTGAGAGCATGGACATTTTTTTTTCCCTCATTGCTTTTACTGGGAACACCGAGCTACAGCTGGGTTATTAACATGCCTATAGGAGGTTGGATATGAAAATGTTGCTACTTTGTGTTAATCTCATGCATTAGGCACAGCATTTTCAGTCTATACAGCAAGCAGTGAAAGGACAAAGCTTGACTGGAACAACAAGAGTAGAAGGGGGGGCTAGAAACATTGGCAAGATCTGTGTCTTTCAGCAAATCAATAGCTAAATTCCAGGAACATTAGTAAATACAACATTGAAATATATATTGGAGCTGTTTATGTGAAATGGTGTTTATATATCTGTACATCCAATTTTGTGATTTTTTTTTTTTTTTTTTTTTTTTTTTTTTTTCACAGCAAGTCAGCTTTTTTCTGTTGTAGTTTAGTAACACAGACCCCTCCCTATAACTTTTCTGTGACTGGACAGTGTAAGATCAGCAGCACATTGATGAGATTATCTTTTGCTCTCCCCTCCTGCCAGCACAGGAATAGCGGGGGGACATTTCATTGGCTGCTAGCGCTGCCTCTCCCTCTATCAGTCTCAGTGCTGCTGTACGTTGGAAAAGTAGGCTGAAATCATGTCAAATTCAATAGACACAAGTTGCACTGAAACAAGAACTCCAGCCTTATGCCCTAGAACACACAATGAGAAAATAGGATGAAAAACAGCTCTTGGAGAAATCAGCTGATATCTGATCATTAGTACACCGCTTTTGAAAGACTATTATGACAGTTCATGAGAAATTATGCAAGCATGAAAATGTTTCTCGTACAATACCATAATAAACTATTTTTGTTTAATCTGTACAGTATTTGTCTGAAAAAATTGAGTAACCAAAACTGTGCATGCTTAGAAACGAAAGAATACATTACAGTACGATGCATTACATCACTTCCAAAGTTGTATTCTGTCATACCAGAACTTTCATGACTTTAGTAACCTCTTCATTTTCGATATGAGACTAACATGCAAAAAACAGACAATTATTTGTTCAATAATTTCATTGTGTGTGTGAGGCTTTAGCTGTTTCTCTTCCATTTGCTTCTCCCTCTGGTGTTTGGTGGAAAACTATACAGTGGGTATAGAAAAGAATTACCCCTTTAAAATAATCACACTTTGTTGCTTTGCAGCCTGAAATGCAGACAAACACCATTTTTGTTTTATCCAGCTGTATTTACTCAGTGCAATTTATAACATCCAAGTGAAAGATATAACACCAATATGTCAGAAAAAAAAATGTAGACAAATCAAAAACAGAATCGTTGAGTTGGAAAAAAAGTTCACCCCCTCCTAAAAATGACTTGTAAACTCAATCAGGTGTAGCCAATCATGTTCTCAATGCCACACAAAGCCATTTGACTTTCAGTTGTGATCAGCTGTGGTCATTTTGATTAGCTCAGCATGAAAAGAGCTTTCCTGGATAGTGCAACTGAAGCAAACAAATAACTACGGCTACGTTCACACTAGCCTTGTGTGCAGGCGGCAGAAGGCGTTTGGGAAGCGTTTTTACCGCTTCCCAAACTGCCAATTCTGCACATTACAGCACATGGTGCTGTTCTAACAGGAGCGTTTGCGTGTCGCGGCAAAACGGATGCCTCTGGTCGAGTCAGGCTTTGAAGCCTCCTATTCTCGTCTATGGTGCCGCTCCGCAAATGCCCGGCCGGCGTTTGCGGTGCGGTTGCGGGGCGTTTGCGGAGCGGTAACACCACTCAAATGCATTATAGGCGTTTGTGGGGCGTTATTAACGCTCGGCAAACGCCTAGCAACTGCCGCTAAACCGCGCATGCGGCGTTTGCGGAGCGTTTGCCGAGCGTTAAAAACGCTCCGCAACAAAGGACTCAACTGCCAAACGCTATAGGGGCGTTTGGCAAGCGTTGGCAAAACAGCCTAGTGTGAACGAGCCCTACGGGTGGCAAAGCGCTGTCAAAAGATCACTGGGATAAGGTTTTGGAAAGACACAAGTCAGGAGATGGATATAAAAAAAAATTCAAAGGCTTTATTAATGCCTAGAAGCACAGAGAAGTCTGTTATTAAGAAGTGGAAAGTATTTGGTACAACACAGACCAACCCTGGATCAGAACTTCACTCCAAACTGGATAAAAGAGCCAGGAAGAAACTGTTTAGAGAGCCTTATAGCAACTCTAAAGCAGTTCAGGAATTTATGATAGAGTGGTCATTGTGTGCATGTGACAACAATATCACACATTCTTCACAGTTATGACTTGTATTGGAGGGTTGCAAGAAAAACCTACTCAAGAAAGGCCATATGCAGTCACGACTGAGCTTAGCCAAAACTCACCTAAAAGATTCTGAGGCCACATGGAAAATGGTGTTCTGGTCAGATGAGACGAAAATTTAATTATTTGACCAACACTAAACAATATGGTGGAAATCCAATACAGCTCACCATCCAAATAACAGCATTCCTACAATAAAGCATGGAGGTGGTAATATCCTGTTATGGGGGGGGGGGGGGGGTTCTCGGCAGCAGGGACTGGAGCACTTGTCAGGATAGAAGGAAAAATGGATGGGGCAAAATACTGTCAAATTCTTGAGGAAAATCTGCCCTCTGCCAGAAAGTTGTCAGTGGGAAAAAGGTTTACCTTTTAACATTGACGCAAAACACACAACAAAAATGACCACACAGTGGTTGGAGGAGAAAAAGGTGAATGTCCTTGCATGGCCTAGTCAGTTCAGACGTAAACACCATTGAAAATCTGTGAAATGACTTGAAGACTGCAGTTTAACTGAACTTGAGCAATTCTGCAGAGTGGGCAAATATTGCAAAGTCTAGATGTGTAAAGTTAGTAGAGACATACCCCAACAGATTAAAGGCTGGAATTAAAGCAAAAGGTGGGTCAACAAAATACTGACACAAGGGGGTGATCCTTTTTCCAACTTGGTGATTCTGTGTTTTAACTTTATTTTTTTTTCTGACATGTTGGTGTTCTAACTTTCACTTGGATGGTATAAGTAGCACTGAATGAATACAGCTGGATAAAACAAAAACTTTGCCTGTCTTCATTTCAGGCTGAAAAGCAAAGTGTGATCATTTTAAAGATGGGTAAATCTTTCCTATACTCACTGTAGTTCTATCCTTTCTTCCCCTTCATGCTGTATGTCTGAATTTTCATTTAACTACTTCACAACCATGCTATAGCCAAATGATGGCTACGGCGTGTTTGTCCAGTTCTGGGAGGACCTCATATGACATCCCCCTAGAATGCACCCTCCTGCGCACCCGCAGCAACGTCCACCCGGTGCTGTGTCCTACGGACACATCTGCTTACATGATGAGGAAAAAGGCCAATCAGAGCAGACTTTCACCACGTGATCAGCTGTGTCCAATGACACAGCAGATTACTAAGTAAATACAGTTGCTGGTTATCAGCAGCACTTTCCTCACACTGTTAACAGCATGAGGAAAGTGCTGCCGATAACCAACAAATGTAACAGAGCAGATTGGCACTGAGCAGTGCTGTCAGTGCAGCATCATCAATGCCTTCTCATCAATGCCCGCCAGTGTAGCCTATCTGTGCCACTTCATCAGTACCGCCTATCAGTGCAGCCCCATCAACACACATCAATGAAGGAGAAAAATTACCTGTTTGCAAAATTTTATAATAGAAACAAAGAAAAACTTTTTTTTTTGTTCTTTATTTTGTTTATAGTACAAAAAAATAAAACGCCCAGTGGCTATTAAAAACCACCAAATGGGTACAGTGTTGCATGACCACGCAATTGACATTTAAAGTGTGAGAGTGCTGAAAGCTGAAAATTGGTCTGGACACGAAGGGAGTAAAAGTGCCTGGTAGGCAAGTGGTTAAAGGGCATTACAGCAGGCCCACTTCTTGTTGGTAGACACCCAGTCTCTCATAAGACTCATGGACTGTCTTAAGCTGTATTTGACATACTTTCTTGTCTTTGGGGGGGTGGACATCACTGCTGCTGTGTCCTATGTGGTGCACAACTTCCATAGGGCCAGTTTCAACAAAAGTACTGCATAGCTTGCTTCCCCTGCTCACTGCATCATAGGGCTCGGAGACAGCAGCCTATATTGTACTATAAGTTTTGTTGCTCTTCATATATGAATGCCGGTTTGCTTATTCGTAAGTAGAGCTGTGTTGTTTTTTTTTCTTAATTGTGTTGGGTGATCATGTGGGCTATATAATCCACTTATACAGAGAAAATAAGGCGTATGGAACAGGAGCAGACTAGTGTCTATGTAGTTATTTGGATTGTAAAGACATGTAACACTTAGAATTACTGACCTACTATATTCAGGTTGAACTGGTGTCTTCAACTTTAACAGCTATGTACTATTCACATTTAGGGAAAGCTACTACAGTTGTGTTCAAAATAATAGCAGTGTGTTGAAAAAAGTGAATAAAGCTCAAAATCCTTCTAATAGCTTTTATTTCCATACACACAAATGCATTGGAAACACTACACATTCTATTCCAAATCAAAACATGAAGAAAAATATATCAAATTTGTGTTGTTCCTCTAAAGAAATTGAAGAAAAGTGAATATTAGACTGTTCAAAAAAATAGCAGTGTTTGTATTCTTCTTTACAAACTCAAACATTCACTATATAAACTGAAAAATGTTTGAAGATTTTGCTTTCCTTTGAATCACTTAATGAATATTTAGTTGTATAAACACTGTTTCTGAGAACTGCTGTACATCTGTGTTGCATGGAGTCAACCAACTTCTGGCACCTGTGAACAGGTATTCCAGCCCAGGAT